GTGTTGGTTATTGACTCTCTGTAGGCAGACAGACTTCAAAGTCATCTAGGATGGTTGTGGTGCTGTGACTGCGGTTGCTGTCCAGGGCCCGTCCCAAGGCCCGGTCCTCAGAGCGTTGTTTACACTCACCTGATAGTGATGCAGAGGAGAGGGCAAGATGGTCGCTGGGCTGACTGCTGGATGTTTAGGGGACAATCTGAGACCTCGTAGTTGTGGGGTCCTGGAAGGGGGGTGGGGGGGAGGACCAGAGGTTTTTGATGTGTGATTGTGAGATCTCTTTAGATGGGGATCTTTATACCATCTCTAGCTCTGTTCTGACTCCCCTGCCTCCCCTCCTCCTCCCTAATTGAACGTTTATTTTGGTGCCTTTCTCCCTGACAAAATGAAGTCCCGTTGGGGAGAGGGAGGCCAAAAAAGAGCTGAAGCCCTGGCTGCCAAATCCCAGCGCCCGTCGCTGTTTGCATGAGATTTGAATATCATTTGCGGGTGGCCCGTACTGCATCATACGCAAAATGGGTGGGAAAGTCAATGAAAACAAAAACACACACACACTCGACCATACACACATACAAGCACCCTCTCCAGCTAAAGTGACCACACACAGCTCTTGTGTGCCTGCAGGCAGCCCTGTTTTGAGTGTGTATGTAATGCTGTGTGTTGTCAACACATGAGCCAAGCTGCCAGGTAAAGTTTGCTGGTGGCGTTATGTTATTGAGGCTGATATGCAGGAAGCGGCGTTGGGCCTGCCTACCTTGATGATGCCAGAGCTGCTTGGGCCTAGTGTTGGATGAAGGTCACAAGAATGTGAGACTGACTCCCGCACTCTTTCTGTCAGTGGAGGAAGGGATGAAAGGACAGTGAGGGATGAGGGACCGAGGAATAAGGGACTTTGCGGACAGAGATATCTTTCTTTGCGCTCAAAGGAAGACCCCCTCAGAAAGAAGTGACGAAAATGGGGTCGCGCATGCAAGTGCTGCAGTTGAAAGTTGAAAAACCTGTCCTCTCTTTCCCCGTCTCATTCTCTCTATTGTTCGTTCTCACCCCCCTCCCTCTTTCCCCCTCCCGCTCTCTCGCTCCCTCTCTGGTTTCTCTCTCTCCTCTGTTGAATGACCTTGGAAGATCAGAGCCGAGCGAGTTCTTCCTGGAGTTGGTTTGAAGCAGAACCAAGGGCAAAGTTTGCAGGGCCAGAGCACAGCACAGGGCCAGGGGGAGGGAGGACTTTGGCACGGGTCAGGGCTTGCTGTCAGATATTATTACAGGCCGCAGCTCTCTTCAAGCACAGAATCCACCGCGAACTGATCACAACGTGCACATACAGGTCTGGCTACGTGTTCTTGGTTAGTCTGTAATTCACTGACTGGCTGAGAACGAGAACCTGGCTCCTTGTTTTTTTGTTCTTGAGTAGATAATTTACCCGGCACTCTGCAACACTGCCAATTTCTGTTCTCTTATTTGTGTGTGTGTGGGGGGGGGGGGTTTGGATTTGACCTCTGCCCCGAATGAATATAGATGGATTTGGTTTGATATGCCGCTGCCGCTTTGCCCTTAATAGGGCCCCTAGGATTCAACAATGATTGATTCTTCTGGGGGAGTTTTTCTTTTCAGTTTGTCTTCCCTCAGTTATGTTTTCCAATGCTTTATTTAGAAATGTTCATGTTCACACTTGTCCTTCACAGTTTTACCCCCACTGATGTCATTTGAATAGAACTGGATACAGCAGTTTGGTTGAGCTTCCAATGTCAATCCATAACGTGAGAAGAAAAATAATGAAATGGTGTTTTATTTGCGATCAATTCCACCCCCCAAAAATATAATTTAATTCCCAAAAGGCTGATTCTGTGATTGGTACAGTGGTTTTCTGATAAACAAAATCCTAGAGGGCTTGTTTTTAGGGACTTTTTAGTTGACCGAAGGCATTCATGCTTCTAGAATGTGACCTCCGCTATTGACGTTGCATGCAGCTTGTGCAATGTGTACCCTCTTACTGTTTGCACTGTAGGCTTATCATACATCATTTACTGATAGCCTAGCTAGCTTATATAGCCTAGCCATAGCCTTTGGTTGAATAACTTCAGTTTTGTGTTCTTGCACCTGACATTTTGCAGTAGGTCACCTTAATGATCATTATAAGGATATAGCATTATTCCGACAATACAAAAAGTTTATTCAATTCAGAGGCTAATCAGATCAGGTTAGGCCAAACACTCCCATCCTGTCCTGTTGCCGTCATTTTAGGTAATTCTCTCTTTCCTTCTCTCTCACTTTCTCTCTTTCTCCCTTCCTCTCTTTCTCTCTATTTTGCCTTCTTTCTCTGATTGGGGGATCTGATTAGTGACCTCTATTACGCTGATGGGGGGATCTGATTAGTGACCTCTATTACGCTGATGGGGGGATCTGATTAGTGACCTCTATTACTCTGATGGGGGGATCTGATTAGTGACCTCTATTACTCTGATGGGGGGATCTGATTAGTGACCTCTATTACTCTGATGGGGGGATCTGATTAGTGACCTCTATTACGCTGATGGGGGGATCTGATTAGTGACCTCTATTACTCTGGATTTGCCCTCATCACTTTGCTATTTTCACAACAATTAAGGAGGGGAGAATGGAGAGTGGGGTGGGGTGGATGGAGGTGGGGTGGATGGAGAGTGGGGTGGATGGAGAGTGGGTGGATGGAGGTGGGGTGGATGGAGGAGGGGTGGATGGAGAGTGGGTGGATGGAGGAGGGGTGGATGGAGGTGGGGTGGATGGAGAGTGGGGTGGATGGAGAGTGGGGTGGATGGAGGTGGGGTGGATGGAGAGTGGGGTGGATGGAGGTGGCAAGTGGGATTGACACGAGATGTCTCTTTTGAGCACCTGTCAACATATTACAAATCTGTGAATACTTAATAATTTGGTTACCAAAGGATGATTTTTCCTGTACAAGTTCCAGTCTGGTAAACAGTGAACTACACATTTTGTTTTTGGGATGGATTTTTTTGTTGTTGGCCAAAAGCGAAGTGGTAGGCTACATTCCTCTGTTTAGAAAGGTCATTCGAGTGAGAGGTTGACTAAATAATCCAGGAGTAACATTAAGTCAAATCATGTTAGTGTTAAAACAACACAATGCCCGTAGCCAAATAAACCCTCACATGAAGCATGTAGTTGACCATTGAAAAAAAAAAAAAAATTGATTCTTGTTTTTCTTCAACATTTCAGAGTTAGTCAGTGCAGGCTGTCGTGGGGGAGTTTCACAAGTCTGGATTAATGAGTTAGCCAGAACTACTTCTGTCAACATTTTGAAACCAGTCAGGAGGAGTCATGGTACCATGACTGCAACATTTTTATCCTTTAACCTGCTCCATGCTAGCCTAATTTGAAACAATACTGACTACTGCATAGCATGCAAGACCATTATTGATATCCTACTGGTATTATTGGAATACATTAGAAAGGGCCTTTTTGAATGTTGTTCTCACTCAGGCCAAGGTTTGGCTATAGGCTAGGCTACACTAATTGTCCATTAGTCAATAAATCTATTCCCTTTGTGAAGTTCCCCTGTGTTTGCATTACGTTGTGAGTCTCTGCACTGAAGCTTTAGGTTTGAAATAGGACAAACTAGGGTTGTGATGGTCATGGAGTTGTGGATGACAGTAATTGGCTCCATTCAAATCCACCAGCCAGGCCATTAAGGAAGCTATTAACTCAGTGTTCATCATTTAGTGTTTTACTCATTCATTTTCTTTCCGTCAGCCATGCATTTACCTGAGTAGTGACCACCTCCCTATGCAGAGTGCATTTCTGTTAGCTAAAAGCTACCTGCAGTGCATCACTCCAATCGGAACACTCACTCCTTTCTTGCACCTCGGATTCCCCCCTTGCAGAATCTAAAAGGACAGGACCAGTACAGGCAATATGATAATGTCGTCTCTAGTCAAGATCTGAGAGGACTAGATGAAGTGTTTCCACCATTTTCCCTGCACCTATCCAGTTCTTTCTGATGTTCTAGGGCGAGTGTAGTCCCAGAAGGGCCCAGGTAAGGAAGTGTCATTGTCAGTTTGGACCTGAGCCCTGAAGCTGATGATGCTGCTGCTGTGAGTGTGTCCGTGGCCGACCTGCCAGGGCAGAGCAGCAGAGAGGCTGGGGTTGGCAGGACAACAATGCTGCTGATTCAGCAGATCCTGCTGCCTACTGCTGCTGAACACCGTTGACTTTCTCAGAGGAGAGAGACAGAGAGGGATGCAGGAGGAGGAGTGGCGGCGGATCGTCTGTGTTGCCGACCAAGCACAGGCACACGGCGCAGGTCAGGAGAAACTGTACACCGCCATCTCTCTCTCTCTCTTTCTCCTCTCTTCTCTCTGACCACTGAAGGGCAATGGAACCGCAGAGGAGAGGAAAGCAGCACAGTGCAGCATAGAACCGCCAGCATAGTGGAACACAGCACAGTAAAGAAAAGGGCAGTGGAACTGCAGAAGAACACATCATATCAAAGACCAGCACAGTGCAGCACATTACAGTACAGCACATTACATCATGTCACAGTGCTATGTGGACATAGGGTCCAAGTAGAGAGACACACCAGTGCAGCCAAGTGTAACCCGTCAACATCACCAGCGGTGTAGTGGAGAGAGAACACAGTTTACGTACCTTTAAGTTTGCGCGAGCACCTATCGTAGAAAAATAAAATTCAAAATGACTCACTGAACGGCGATCAGTGTAGCCATCTATTTTGTTCTTGACCTCTACATCACACTGAACACCACAGCCTGACGCTCCTAATGGACATGTGTTGGTCACTGCCTCTTCAAGGACATCAGTCCCCATTTGGAGAGGCTCACTCGTAGGTGAGCTTGACCATTTATACTATTCAATCAGGTTTATGTTTAGCTAGGACTGCAGAAGGAGAGACACTGTTTTATTGCCTACAGTGCTTATATGCATAGTGTCTATTGAAGTGAGAACTGGTCTGTGGCGGGCGTTGTGGGTATATTGAAGGTCGTAGGGTCACACAGTATCACATGCTCTATCCGAGCGCAAAGCCCCGCTCCGGAGGTATTTAGTTCAGTCAGCTGAGGTTTGGTGTGTGTGTGTGTGTGTGTATGAGCGGAGACAGCTGTGGTGGTTAGGTCCTACTTATTTATTTATTTATTAATTAATTAATCTCTTTTCATTAATTGAAGTTTTTGCTCTTTTAATTCTCGCTCCCGCTCTCCATTTCCTCCCTGGGCCACCGCAGAAATCCCACTGTTGCCATGGTAATTAGCCAGATAGTCCTCTGTCATGGTGTTAAGTGAATCGTCTAATTATAATTTCTTATCTGGCTACCAGTTGGAGAGATTACACACACACACACACGGATGTCCTCTCCTGCTGCATCCATCACAAGATCAATTCCTGACTCGTTCTTAATACGCTGGGCCGCCTTGGAGCTGTAAAAAGTAGACCAATAAAACAGTGTTCCTGGAAGGAGGCGTGTCATTATACTGTTCTTTATTGTTTGCTTTGTCATTCTCCCACTCAGACCAGAACAGGTAAAATAAACAAGACACAATGGCATTCAGTTCATCATTGTAGGCTTAGCCTGACTCCACCATAAGACTACAAATCCCATCATCGTTACCTTCATCTGTGCCCTCAGGAATGGTGGGATTGTTTTGTAGGCTAAGGGGAAGCTGGTTAGTGATTTGCGACAGGACTTCAATCAACCTTGAAATGAAACTGGACACTGGGCAGTCCAACTCATCACCCGCCATTACATCTGGTCTGATTGATTTATCGACCCCTCCACCCCCCCCAACTCCATTCTGATTGATTTACTTTCTATTTGAAAATAACAGAAAGAATGCTCATGGTTCAGAACTGATTTATTGTCATACTGTCTGTGTTTAGAACTACTGGAGGACATGAGCTCAGCTGTGGCCAATGGCTGAGCGTTAGGACTAAGCTGTGGCCAATGGCTGAGCGTTAGGACTAAGCTGTGGCCAATGGCTGAGAGGCAGGACTAGAGCGTCTTTGTGTGGTCATGCTTTTATGCCTCTCTCTCTCTCTCTCTCTTACCATCATCATCATGTTTGACCCACATAGCTGGTTTGCATAGCCGTCTGACTGCTACGGCCCTCCCTCCCTCCCTGCCTGTCTCTTACCTCCCCCTGTTCCAGCCTCTGGCACTTTGTCTCAGCGTTGGGTTAATGCTGCTCCGCTGTACACACCACTGACTGGACACACACACCACACCCAGCTATTATAGTGTTTCCCTTTCCTCTTGCCGCCTGCCCATTCTTCCTAGGAAAGAAGAGAGGGAGAGGTGAGGTTGCACTGTAGACTGGCTCGGACAGGCAGGCTAATATTCACAGCAGAATTCCTGGCATGCCATAGTAACCTGGCATGTTCCCTTTCTGGGAGCCAGACTCTGGCCTCACGTTACAGAGGTATGTGGATTTGGAGGTGTGTGTGTTTTGGTGCTTGAGTGCGGTGGTGAGTTGTTACTCTCTAGGGAGTGGAATACTCTGAGCTAGGCTTGGGGCGGTATACCGGGGTATTTTGAATTAGCTACGGTATGATTTTTGTCGAAAGCAAATGTGTGGGCTTCCTAAAGCTTATAAATATAAGTTAACTATCTAAGATGTGCCAAATACATTATGTTCAGCTATGCATGTGGTTTGCTAACTTGCTAGCTAAGTAGCTAGATGGCAGGATCAAGATCCCTGCTGCCTAAAAAATGGGGCACTCAGGCCTGTCCTCAGACTTGGGGTCACAAATACACCACACAATGACATGACAGACTAGAGTCTCCAGTTTGATGTAGCTGTAGGCTACTAATGTGGTTGCTCCATGCAGCGAGTTGTCATTAGGCATGTCAAGGATTGATGGGCGGCAACAGAAATAGAAACGGCCAGGGCTATATTTAAAATTCAATGTATTCTAATTGTAGGTTCTCCTATGGAGTTCCTAGAGCTCTGGCCAGTGGGGCCTTTGGCTGCCAATGTCGGTCAGTTCTGGTGTACTGTTATGGTAGATTGATTCACTCATCCACCTTTCATCACTCGCTGCTCAAGATCATAGTTCATTCATACAGTAGATCATAGTTTATTCATACAGTAGATCATAGTATATTTTTTAAAATCTCTCTCTTCCTCTCTCTCTGTCTCTTCCACTCTCCTCCCTCCTTCTCTCTCCCTCCTTCCCCCTGCAGTGAGCATGTCTGCAGATTCGTTTGGCGCCGGGGGCAGCGATGCCCAGCAGAGCCTACAGTCCTTCTGGCCCCGCGTCATGGAAGAGATCAGGAACCTCACGGTGGTACGTCACGCCCTCCCTCCCTCCGTCACGCACACACACACACCCCTCATTGTGGTACACATACGCACCTAACAAGTGGTCTTCCACATGACCTGCCTCTAACACCCCTTGGCTCTGTTTCAGAAGGATTTCCGCGTGCAGGAGTTGCCTCTCGCCCGAATCAAGAAAATCATGAAGCTGGATGAAGATGTGAAGGTAGGAGGCGGGGCTTACACAGCACAGGTCACCGCCCTCTGGGATCACTCTATGAAGTTTTCATCAACACCCTATTCAGATTACAAAACATGGCGATGTGTAGCTGAGGTGTGGCTCCACAGCTGGCTGAAATGAACAGGGTATTCACAGGACCCACTAGCTCATTTAGTAGAAAATGCTTCGAGGAGGCATGTTATTTGCAATCGTACCTCATCCTATGTTAAGTGAGTCCCACATCACATGTTATGCTATATGTTATAGTCCTTGTATATCCACTTCATTAGGTCATCCTATGGTCACTTTCCAATAGATCAGCTATTCAGCTTATCACTCAGCAGGGCTATTCCTGCTCATGGGGAGGACACTGAGGGTGGAGTGTGTCACTGTCAGGATGCTAGTATGTGTGTGACGCCGCGGTGTGTTTGTGTGTGTCCAGGCAGGGCTCCTCCTGAGATAGCGGCGTGTCCCGAGATAGCGGCGTGTCCAGAGATAGCGGCGTGTCCCGAGATAGATAAGCAGTAGCAGCTTAAGTAGGTGGAGGAAGGAGCTGAACTTAAAGCTGCAGTTACACGACGCAACTTGCACGCAATTTTAGTTGCTTGCAACTGAGTTGCTTCGTGAAACACCCCTCTGGAACTTATCTGCAACTTGGTTGCACCCAGTTGAAACTTTGTGGAACTAGTTGCAAGCAACAGCCAATCAAAACAGACACTTTTGTCACATGATCCACTCGGCGGGTCTGACTTAGAATATGTGGACAACTACAAATACCTAGGTGTCTGGTTAGACCGTAAACTCTCCTTCCAGACTCACATTAAGCATCTCCAATCCAAAGGTAAATCTAGAATCTGCTTCCTATTTCGCAACAAAGCCTCCTTCACTCATGCTGCCAAACATCCCCTCGTAAAACTGACTATCCTACCGATCCTTGACTTCGGCGATGTCATTTACAAAATAGTCTCCAACACTCTACTCAGCAAATTGGATGTGGTCTATCACAGTGTTATCCGTTTTGTCACCAAAGCCCCATACACTACCCACCATTGTGACCTGTACGTTCTCGTTGGCTGGCCCTCACTACATATTCGTCGCCAAACCCACTGGCTCCAGGTCATCTATAAATCACTGCTAGGCAAATCCCCGCCTTATCTTAGCTCATTGGTCACCATAGCAACACCCACCCGTAGTATGCGCTCCAGCAGGTATATCTCCCTGGTCATCCCCAAAGCCAACACCTCCTTTGGCCGCCATTCCTTCCAGTTCTCTTCTGCCAATGACTGGAACGAACTGCAAAAATCTCTGAAGCTGGAGACTCTTATCTCCCTCACTAACTTTAAGCATCAGTTGTCAGAGCAGCTTACCGATCACTGCACCTGTACACATCCCATCTGTAATTAGCCCACCCAACTACCTCATCCCCATATTGTTATTTTGCTCATTTGCACCCCAGTATCTCTATTTGCACATCATCTTATGCACATTTATCACTCCAGTGTTAATACTAAATTGTAATTATTTTGCACTATGGCCTATTTATTGCCTTACCTCCATAACTTACTACATTTGCACACACTGTATATAGATTTTCTATTGTGTTTTTGACTGTACGTTTTGTTTATCCCATGTGTAACTCTGTGTTGTTGTTTTTATCACACTGCTTTGCTTTATCTTGGCCAGGTCGCAGTTGTAAATGAGAACTTGTTCTCAACTGGCTTACCTGGTTAAATAAAGGTGAAATAAAATACAAATAAAAAAGGTTTGGAATTCCGACCCAGTTGTCATGTCAACAGAGCTGTCAGTGCTTCACAGCACAACCTGCAATCAGGGTTGACAGAGCAGAGACTAAAACGGCAGGAGATATATACAAATTATAGTACATGGTTTAGTAGTCAATAAATGTAATTTCGAAGTGAACCCAAACTTCTGCCTGACCAGTTTCAACTGAAATGGTCCACCATTTGATATTGCGGTGTGAGGGGTTGAGAGGGCCTGCCTCGCAGTGGACTCTTTCCTGACTACTGCCGAGGTGTGGTGGTCTTTCTGGCGCTTATAGCTGGTGGGTGCTACACTTCAGTAGTGGACTATCCAGCCTACCTACAGAGGAAGAGGAGACAACGAACGAGGTGCCTGATGAAGAGCTCTGAGTCTGGGCCTGTCTAAGTAACTGGTGCTGCTCCTTCTCTGTGCCATCAAAGCTCCCTCCACTTAAGCTACTGCCCAGCCTTTCTGAACTGCCTGTCTGAACAACACCTTATCATCTGAATCTGTGGAAGACCATCGCCCAAGACCTGCCAGATCTCTACATTTCTTTGATATATTTTTTTACAGCGTCTTTGAGATTCTCTTTGTAATGAAAAGAGCTATAAAAAAATACATCTATTATAGTTCGTTGCTAGCTTGTTTAGCTCGTAGGTAGCTAGCTGTGTTGGCGTTTGCAATGTCATTTTGGCTAACTAGCTAAATTGTACAGGCTACATTTCTTCTATATCCTTGCTGTTACAATAACCAAATGGTTGGATAAACAAATAATTTGTGAAATCACAATGTAATGCAGCAGATGACATGTGGTGAGTTTAGAATTCTCAAAAAAGCTAATGTCACTCAGTGGAAAGGTTTTCAAAAGGTTAGGTTAGGTCTCTCCCTTTGGTAGCAAAGGCTACAGTCGGCCTATCTATACGACCCTATCTAGCTGTGTACGTTTGTGTGTTCTGTGTGTGTGTTCCCTGTTTTCCCCTAGTTCTAACATGTCATCGCTGTGTCTCCATAGATGATCAGTGCGGAGGCTCCGGTGCTGTTTGCCAAGGCAGCTCAGATCTTCATCACAGAGCTCACGCTGAGGGCCTGGATCCACACTGAAGACAACAAGAGACGCACCCTACAGGTCAGTCACACCCTCCCTAGTGTGTAAAGAGGTCACACGCGCACTCTCCCTAATGTGTAAAGAGGTCACGCGTACACACGCTCACGCAGATGCACATGCAGTCTGCTGAAACAATTTTACATTTAACGACAACACATACACACATATGCAGTTGTACTGGTCTCAGTGTTTGTGTAGAGGCCCCACACCGCCATCCACTGAGGACCGGCTCTGTTAAATTCCTTCCTCTCTCTGTCCACTCTGAAAGCAAAGCTTGGCTCCCGTGACCCACTTTCACTCCCAATGTCATTTTGCTCTCTTATCCCAGAGCCAGGAGAATTACATTGATCCTGAAGTGACGCTAGAGAATGGGGAAGACAAAGTGAAAGAGAGAGAGAGAGAGAGAGAGAGAGTGTGTGTGTGTGAGAGAAGACAACGGGAGAGCAAGAGTGAGAAAAGCGAGTGAGCTAAGCAAGAGAGGAAGGGAGAGCGAGAAAAGATGGAGTAGAGAGAGAGAGAGAGAGAGAGAAGAGAGAGCGAGAGATAGAGAGAGTTAGAGAGAAGAAGAGAGAGAGAAAAAAAAACCCCCGGTCTTCTTCTTCTTCTCTCTTTTGTCTCTCTTTCTTCTATCTCGTCTTCTCTCTCCCTTTCTCTTTTCCCCTCTTCGGGCCCCCCCCTTTTTTTTTTTTTCCGTTCTCTTCTTCTTCTTCTTTTCCCCTTTCCCCCCCCTTCTTCCCTTTTCCCCCCTTTCTTCCCCCCCCCCGGGGCCCCCCCTTTTTTTTTTTCCCTTTCCCCCCCCCTTTTTTTCGGGGGGGCCCCCCCCCCCTTTCCCCCCCTTTCCCCCCCCCCCCCTTTTTTCCCCCCCCTTTTTTTTTTTTTTTCCCCCACCCCCCCCTTTTCCCCCCCCCCCTCCCCCCTCGGGTTTTCCCCCCCCGGGGGCCCCCCCCCCCCCCCCCCGGGGGGGGGCCCCCTCTAGGGGGGGGGACGGCGCGTTGTCAAGGGGTTTTGGAAACCGGGGTATCACACCTTGTGTTGAGGGTAACGCCCCTCCCAACCTGAAACAAATTAAAACGATCCCCAGTTGTCTCTCTTTTCATCCATGCACATACGTTCGCTTCACGAAATGTATTCACACCCCTTGATCTTTTTCCACATTTCCTGTTGTTAGAAAGTTGGGGATTAAAATTTGATTGAATTTTTTGTCAACGATATACACAAAATACTCTTAATGTCAAAGTGGAAGAACAATTCTAACATTTGTAAAAAATTAAAAATACTATTTTTAAACCCCATGAGTCAATACATGTTAGAATCACAGCGATTACAGCTGTGAGTCTTTCTGGGTAAGTCTCTAAGAGCTTTGCACACCTACATTGGACAATATTTGCACATTCTTTTTAAAATTCTTCAAGCTGTGTCAAGTTGGTTGTTGATCATTGCTAGACAGCCATTTTCAAGTCTTGCCATAGATATTCGAGCCAATTTAAGTCAAAACTGTAACTAGGCCACTCAGAAACATTCAATGTCGTCTTGGTAAGTAACTCCAGTGTATATTTGGCCTTGTGTTTTAGGTTATTGTCCTGCTGAAAGGTGAATTGGTCTCCCAGTGTCTGTTAGAAAGCAGACTGAACCAGGTTTTCCTTTAGGACATTGTCTGTGCTTAGCTCTATTACGTTTATTTTTATCCTAAAAAACTCCCTAGTCCTTAACGATTACAAGCCTACCCATAACATGATGCAGCCACCACCATGCTTGAAAATATGAAGAGTGGTACTCAGTGATGTGTTTTGTTGGATTTGCCCCCAAACATTGCATGCACTCACTAAACTGTAAGTCGCTCTGGATAAGAGGGGTATAGGTAGCATAAACATAACCACATGTAACATATGGATTTGCATTAGTATATGCATCAAAAGTATTGTTACAGATATGCATGCAAGGTTGCTAGCAGACTAGCCTGCTAACGTTATGTTAGCACAGCGCATGAGTCAGCCAGTTGCTATCAACACCTAGCTTACAGCTGCATTAAAGTAAACCATCTAACCAGTTATCAAATAATGTTAACTGCATATACTGGTATCTTAGCCATCTAGCTAAAATTAGCTGGCTAAGCTAGCTAGCAGGCTAAAATAACTAAGTAACCTAGCCAACCACCACCGTCAACATAGCTAAGTAGTAAGCCAGAGAACAACTAGTCTAGCACAGGCAGGAACCCACAGAACACACACAAAAAAAGCCAGCAGTTATAAAGTAGAGAGAGCGGAGACTTACCGATTTGACGGCTGGGTCATTCTCACGGAACATTTGAGCCAGAGAACAACTAGTCTAGCACAGGCAGGAACCCACAGAACACACACAAAAAAATCCAGCAGTTATAAAGTAAAGAGAGCGGAGACTTACCGATTTGACGGCTGGGTCATTCTCACGGAACATTTGACCAAACAATTCTCAAGTGTTCTTTTTCATGAAATTTCCCTTTGGATCACTGAGATTAGGAAATGTACTTATTTATTTTATAATTATAATTATTTTTTTTTTTTTATCAGATAAGATGCATTTTACCACAATTTCCACAACTACCAGCGCAAAAAAAGTAATTACTGCAACTGTTTATCCAAGGTCTTTACAGGTAATATTGGTTTATTAAGATGTGGATATTTGTGGTTTTAAGGTATTTTAGATGTATTTCTGGATTGAATGGGATCCTATGGGCAAACAGTATAACACAATATGCCTATAAAGTATTTAAATACGTGACGTATGGACCAAAAACTGTCTTGGGATATCAAACAACCGTATAGGTAAGTGTAAAAACAGGTACACATGTCAAAATTGAGTATATCCTCCTTTGAGTCGTGGGGTTGCTCTTTGCTAAAACATAAACTGCCGATTGTGGCTTAAAGTAAGTTAAATGGGATTTATACACCCCATATTTCTTGACAAACCCTAATTAATCAATTAACTGTTGTTTTACAAAAAATCTATACAATAGGTTTAAGAAGTGGTCCTAATAAATAAAGTTACCAGAACAGCACACCCATTGACTATATACATTAGAATGAGCTTATTATCACTACCGAAATAAGGTTCTCATTACTGAAACTGACCTACAAATGACGTGGTAATGAGAAATGTGTGTTTCGTAATGGGAGGCCTTTAGCTCAATCTGCAAATAATAGGAGACAGCCATTATGAGTCAGCAAACAATTGACCACATCACTAAAGCCCATTCATGCTTCCATGTTGGTTAGGTAATGGTTCTCTTACTTTTCCCCAATTTGAGCTTTTTAGTCGTTTCGTTAACGAGAAGGCCAAGTTGGGTAAAGGGGGTGTTTTGATAATAAGAACCTGATTCTGAAGGCAGATAAGTGAATAAATTAACTTAACTAAAACTTTATTTAAAAACTGATTGGAAAAACTACGGTAATGAGACCACACACACACAGTTTTTACGTAATAAATATTTTTACGTAATAAATATTCTAGTTTAATGTTAACTTCAACTAGTATATAATTTTAATGATTTATGGACAAATTACAGCAACATATTTTGTTTTATTCAAATAAGTTAGGTTTTTCTAAAGTAAAATTGTCTAAAATTACCAGAGTTGAAATCCGGACACATTTCAGTAATGAGAATTTGGGGTGGAAATGTAAAAAATGTGGGCAAAATGTTGACATCTATTTAAAATAACATTTTTTAACACTAAAATAAAACATCTTAGTCTTCAGAATGCAGGTGCATCATGGTTTTGTAACATGTTTAAAAATGGTTTCATGAGAATCACCCAGGTGAGTTGGCTAACAGAGAAGAACCAAGGAGAGAGGTGCTTCAGAGGGAAGCCGAGGGAGAGTCTGCTAATCCAATAGCGATATAGTGAGGTAAATCCAAAGTAGATAGATTCCAGAGGCAATAATCCAGAGGCGGTATTGGTCACAGGAGACGAGGAGAAGAGTCAACAATAAGACGGCGATCGTAGGAAGGCTCCAGGCAGATTGAAATTATCACAACATTACAGTCAGTCAGCTACTGTAGCTCGCTAGTACTAAGCCAAGGTTGAAAAACTCTGCTAGCCTACTTTGGAGATCATACGGCCCCCACATGTGGGGAATCTGATTGGTTGTTTACTTCACACCTCCTCGTGTTTGGTGGATTGTAGCTCACCACGGACAACACTCGGTCTGCATGGCTAGTGGCTATCGTTAGCCAGCTCGAGCTAGCTAACGCAGAGTAGATAATCCATATGACGTTGAGAAATAGTGCATTGTGGGTAGTTTAGAAGATATCCCCAGACAGAAGTTAATAAATATGTAAATAAACCAAAGCATACAATGGGGGAAAAAAAGTATTTAGTCAGCCACCAATTGTGCAAGTTCTCCCACTTAAAAAGATGAGAGAGGCCTGTAATTTTCATCATAGGTACACGTCAACTATGACAGACAAAATGAGAAAACAAATTCCAGAAAATCACATTGTAGGATTTTTAATGAATTTATTTGCAAATTATGGTGGAAAATAAGTATTTGGTCAATAATAAAAGTTTCTCAATACTTTGTTATATACCCTTTGTTGGCAATGACACAGGTCAAACGTTTTCTGTAAGTCTTCACAAGGTTTTCACACACTGTTGCTGGTATTTTGGCCCATTCCACCATGCAGATCTCCTCTAGAGCAGTGATGTTTTGGGGCTGTCGCTGGGCAACACGGACTTTCAACTCCCTCCAAAGATTTTCTATGGGGTTGAGATCTGCAGACTGGCTAGGCCACTCCAGGACCTTGAAATGCTTCTTACGAAGCCACTCCTTCGTTGCCCGGGCGGTGTGTTTGGGATCATTGTCATGCTGAAAGACCCAGCCACGTTTAATCTTCAATGCCCTTGCTGATGGAAGGAGGTTTTCACTCAAAATCTCACGATACATGGCCCCATTCATTCTTTCCTTTACACGGATCAGTCGTCCTGGTCCCTTTGCAGAAAAACAGCCCCAAAGCATGATGTTTCCACCCCCATGCTTCACAGTAGGTATGGTGTTATTTGGATGCAACTCAGCATTCTTTGTCCTCCAAACACGACGAGTTGAGTTTCTACCAAAAAGTTCGATTTTGGTTTCATCTGACCATATGACATTCTCTCAATCCTCTTCTGGATCATCCAAATACACTATAGCAAACTTCAGACGGGCCTGGACATGTACTGGCTTAAGCAGGGGGACACGTCTGGCACTGCAGGATTTGAGTCCCTGGCGGCGTAGTGTGTTATTGATGGTAGGCTTTGTTACTTTGGTCCCAGCTCTCTGCAGGTCATTCACTAGGTCCCCCCGTGTGGTTCTGGGATTTTTGCTCACCTTTCTTGTGATCATTTTGACCCCACGGGGTGAGATCTTGCGTGGAGCCCCAGATCGAGGGAGATTATCAGTGGTCTTGTATGTCTTCCATTTCCTAATAATTGCGCCCACAGTTGATTTCTTCAAACCAAGCTGCCTACCTATTGCAGATTCAGTCTTCCCAGCCTGGTGCAGGTCTACAATTTTGTTTCTTGTGTCCTTTGACAGCTCTTTGGTCTTGGCCATAGTGGAGTTTGGAGTGTGACTGTTTTGAGGTTGTGGACAGGTGTCTTTTATACTGATAACAAGTTCAAACAGGTGCCATTAATACAGGTAACGAGTGGAGGACAGAGGAGCCTCTTAAAGAAGAAGTTACAGGTCTGTGAGAGCCAGAAATCTTGCTTGTTTGTAGGTGACCAAATACTTATTTTCCACCATAATTTGCAAATAAATTCATTAAAAATCCTACAATGTGATTTTCTGGATTTATTTTTCTCAATTTGTCTGTCATAGTTGACGTGTACCTATGATGAAAATGACAGGCCTCTCTCATCTTTTTAAGTGGGAGAACTTGCACAATTGGTGGCTGACTAAATACTTGTTTTCCCCACTGTAAGTATGTTTGTAGTTATAGGTAACCATATCGTGACTACAACTAAGTTACTAAGTCTTTGACCACACTGTGTTGTTACTTATGTGAGTAAAAACAAATGCTTCCTACCCTTTAACAACCTCGAAATAGAATGCCAATTTGGTTTCAAGATCCTCACGTTAATTGCATTTTTACACCACAGGTGGTGTTACATGTGTTTTATTAATAAGACAGCTCTGCTTGCAATCACACTAATTTTATCTCTCCATTTCACACACACACACCGGCTCTCGTCGGTGCTAGGGTTCCATTGTGCCAGTGGCACGCCGATCAGGGTCGCCATGGCGACGCTCATCAATATATCAACTGTGGATGTGATCCGATGTTACCTGATATATTAATCTCACAGCGCTATAAATACACAGATGTAGGGGGCCTCAATGTGGGGACTTAGATGCCAATATCCTGTGGAAAATGACACACGCGCTAGAGGAGTGGGCCTCGGGAGGACAGTGATGCTAAGAATACATCACACAACTCCCAATGTCCTTAATCTGGTGCTGCTCATAGTGGTCCTATGGCTCTATGGTTAATTCTGCTGTTTTTACATGGTACAGTGGTGGAAAAAAGTATTTAGTCAGCCACCAATTGTGCATGTTCTCCCACTTAAAAAGATGAGAGAGGCCTGTAATTTTCATCATAGGTACACGTCAACTATGACAGACAAAATGAGAAAACAAATTCCAGAAAATCACATTGTAGGATTTTTTATGAATTTATTTGCAAATTATGGTGGAAAATAAGTATTTGGTCAATAACAAAAGTTTCTCAATACTTTGTTATATACCCTTTGTTGGCAATGACACAGGTCAAACGTTTTCTGTAAGTCTTCACAAGGTTTTCACACACTGTTGCTGGTATTTTGGCCCATTCCTCCATGCAGATCTCCTCTAGAGCAGTGATGTTTTGGGGCTGTCGCTGGGAAACACGGACTTTCAACTCCCTCCAAAGATTTTCTATGGGGTTGAGATCTGGAGACTGGCTAGGCCACTACAGGACCTTGAAATGCTTCTTACGAAGCCACTCCTTCGTTGCCCGGGCGGCGTGTTTGGGATCATTGTCATGCTGAAAGACCCAGCCACGTTTCATCTTCAATGCCCTTGCTGATGGAGGGAGGTTTTCACTCAAAATCTCACGATACATGGCCCCATTCATTCTTTCCTTTACACAGATCAGTCGTCCTGGTCCCTTTACAGAAAAACAGCCCCAAAGCATGATGTTTCCACCCCCATGCTTCACAGTAGGTATGGTGTTCTTTGGATGCAACTCAGCATTCTTTGTCCTCCAAACACGACGAGTTGAGTTTTTCCCAAAAAGTTCGATTTTGGTTTCATCTGACCATATGACATTCTCCCAATCCTCTTCTGGATCATCCAAATGCACTCTAGCAAACTTCAGACGGGCCTGGACATGTACTGGCTTAAGCAGGGGGACACGTCTGGCACTGCAGGATTTGAGTCCCTGGCGGCGTAGTGTGTTACTGATGGTAGGCTTTGTTAATAATATGCCATTTAGCAGACGCTTTTATCCAAAGCGACTTACAGTCATGTGTGCATACATTTTTGTGTATGGGTGGTCCCGGGGATCGAACCCACTACCTTGGCGTTACAAGCGCCGTGCTCTACCAGCTGAGCTACAGAGGACCACTGTTACTTTGGTCCCAGCTCTCTGCAGGTCATTCACTAGGTCCCCCCGTGTGGTTCTGGGATTTTTGCTCACCGTTCTTGTGATCATTTTGACCCCACGGGGTGAGATCTTGCATGGAGCCCAAGATCGAGGGAGATTATCAGTATGTCTTCCATTTCCTAATAATTGCTCCTACAGTTGATTGCTTCAAACCAAGCTGCTTACCTATTGCAGATTCAGTCTTCCCAGCCTGGTGCAGGTCTACAATTTTGTTTATGGTGTCCTTTGACAGCTCTCTGGTCTTGGCCATAGTGGAGTTTGGAGTGTGACTGTTTGAGGTTGTGGACAGGTGTCTTTCATACTGATAACAAGTTCAAACAGGTGCCATTAATACAGGTAACGAGTGGAGGACAGAGGAGCCTCTTAAAGAAGAAGTTACAGGTCTGTGAGAGCCAGAAATCTTGCTTGTTTGTAGGTGACCAAATACTTATTTTCCACCATAATTTGCAAATAAATTCATTAAAAATCCTACAATGTGATTTTCTGGAGAAAAAAAATCTCAATTTGTCTGTCATAGTTGACATGTCCCTATGATGAAAATGACAGGCCTCTCTCATCCTTTTAAGTGGGAGAACTTGCACAATTGGTGGCTGACTAAATACTTTTTTTCCCCACTGTATGTGTTGTGTGTGATTGAAGTAGGCAAAGCCTTTTATAGTTCCACTGAGAGCGACCTCCTTTTAGTATTGTTTACAGAACTGCAGAATGTTCAAGTTTGACCTAGAAGTTTTTCTAAACTGTATTTTCTTCAAACGCTTCCAAAAAGGCTATATTTGGAGAGAGCAGCAGAAGTACAAAGCCGGTTTTATATTTAGCCTAGTTTTTTCACATACTGAATGAGGAGCCTAACGTTCACCCTCAACTCTTACTTCCTGTGTTACAGAGGAACGACATTGCCATGGCGATAACGAAGTTCGACCAGTTTGACTTCCTCATCGACATCGTGCCCCGGGACGAGCTCAAGCCCCCCAAACGACAGGTAGTGTGTGTGTGTGTGTATGGGTCTATCTGCATTTAATTTCAGGACCCAGGCAGGATGGAGTACCACTCCTGGCAGCCTGGAGGCGCTGTAAACATCCTTGACTGGAAGCTGGTGTTTGGGCAACAAGGGCTTTCAGTCGGATGTTTGCAGCGTCTGGCTGCCCCTTACTTCCTACAACCCCCAACAGTGCCACCATAGCCTCTAATCTCCAACAGAACCACCACCAGTACACCACCATAGCCTCTAATCTCCAACAGAACCACCACCATAGCTTCTAATCTCCAACAGAACCACCACCAGTACACCACCATAGCCTCTAATCTCCAACAGAACCACCACCAGTACACCACCATAGCCTCTAATCTCCAACAGAACCACCACCAGTACACCACCATAGCCTCTAATCTCCAACAGAACCACCACCAGTACACCACCATAGCCTCTAATCTCCAACAGAACCACCACCAGTACACCACCATAGCCTCTAATCTCCAACAGAGCCACCAATACCCCATAGCTTGTAATCACTATCAACATAATCACCACCGTGTTAACTGATGCCCCCTCTACCACATTACAGTCCTGACTCAGATTGATGGTGTTTTAGGCTGGGCAGTGGCTCCTAAGCATTTAAAGTTGTGACCAACCTAAATAGACCGATTCACCAAGTCTGTGGCCAGGGGTGTAAACATCCTACACTCTCAGCTGTGACATCATCGAGCTGGGAGAGGGGTGTTTACGCTTCTGGTGACGGGGAAACTGCTAGCTCCTACACTGTTACCCTGTACTTCTGACGACGATGAGGCCTTGAGTGTACTTCTCAGAGCACAAAGACATGTGGAAGCTTGTAGTGATGTGGCATTGCTCTAACTGGCAGGGACTTAGACCATATTATACTATACACAAAGAGCCTTCATGCTTGTTAATGGCTGACGTAATGTCCAATGTGTCACTGAATGAGCTTTCCATTCACAGTTTATGATTAAAACATTCTCAATAGTGTGCCAAGGTCTTGTTTTCATGAATGGAAATGATCCCTTTCTGTCTGTTGAAGTGTTCTTGTGTTCTGAAAAGTGTTGTTGGGTTGTGAAAATCCATTGTCTTGACGAAGACCCATAAGGCCTTGAGCCTGAGTGTTGTCCACTGGGCTCATCAAGGTCCTCCAGTGCTAATGGATCCTCCAGTTGCGTTCCAAATGGCACCCTATTCCCCATAGTGCACTACTTTTGACCAAGGCCTATAGGGCTGACCCATGGGGCCCTGATCAAAAGTAGTGCACTACATAGGGAATAGGGTGCCATTTGGGACGTATCCTCTATTCAGAATCACATTACTCATCCATCCAGGCCCTATCAGTTATTTATCTGGGCCTCTTACCTATTGTATTACACTGGCAAAATAATTAATGGATTTGTAATGGACTGATAGTTCTCTCTCTTCTCTCTCCTCTCTCTCTCTGTGTGTGTGTGTGTGTGTGTGTGTGTGTGTGTGTGTGTGTGTGTGTGTGTGTACAGGAGGAGGTGCGTCAGTCGGTGGCCCCAGCAGAGCCGGTCCAGTACTACTTCACCCTGGCTCAGCAGCCAGGCCAGGGCCAACAGCAGGCCACAGCACAACAGGCTACCACCATCCAGCCTGGACAGATCATCATCGCACAGCCACAGCAAGGACAGGTACACTTAAGAATAGACCTGCACCACAAACACATATATACACACACACCACATAGACACACACACACGTGCACTGACACAGACAGAGAGACCACGTGTGCAGACACACACATATATACACACACCACATAGACACACACATGTGCACTGACACAGAGAGAAAGACCACGTGTGCAGACACACACATATATACACACACGCACCACACTGAACACACTACGCCACAAACAACCAGTAAGCTACCAACATTCAGCCAGGCAAAGGTATAGTGTAACACACACACACACACACACACACACACCATGACACAGCCTGGCAGATCACCAGCTCTCCTAACACTCTCCCAGTCAACATCCCTCTCCAACCCTGTCCACTATAAAACAGTGTTAATGGGGTAATAACAGTGGGTTTTATTGACTTTATCCTTGGCAAGCACAGCCGATCCACACTCTGGCCTCAACACTTTCCCACCAGCAGGGATGAATGAACCTACACACCCAGCTATAAAAGCAATGATACAGGGCCATTTGATCTGCCCACTTCAGTCACTCCTCTCTCCACTGGAGGTCCAGAACAACACAGTACAGTAACACTAGGGCTGCGTCTCTAATGGCACCCTATACCCTATTCAGTGCACTACTTTTGACCAGGGCCAAAAGTCCAAATCCAATTTTATTTGCCACATGCGCCAAATACAACAGGTGTAGACCTTACAGTGAAATGCTTACTTACAAGCCCTTAACCAACAATGCAGTTTTAAGAAAAAAAGTTAAGTAAAAATATAAATAAAAAATAATTAAAGAGCAGCAGTAAAATCAAATAACAGTAGGGATGCTATATACAGGGGGTACCAGTACAGAGTCAATGTGCGGGGGCACCGGTTAGTCGAGGTAATATGTAAATGTTGGTAGAGTTATTATTATTATTAGTTAAAGTGACTATGCATGGATAATAAACAGAGTAGCAGCAGTGTAAAATAGGGTGTGGGGTGGGGTGGGGGGGACAGTGCAAATAGTCCGGGTAGCCATAATTAGCTGTTCAGGAGTCTTATGGCTTGGGGGTAGAAGCTGCTAAGAAGCCTTTTGGACCTAGACTTGGCACTCCGGTGCGGTAGCAGAGAGAACAGTCTATGACTAGGGTGGCTGGAATCTTTGACAATTTTTAGGGCCTTCCTCTGACACCGCCTGGTATAGAGGTGCTGGATAGCAGGAAGCTTGGCCCCAGTGATGTACTGGGCCGTACGCACTACCCTCTGTAGTGCCTTGCAGTCGGAGGCCGAGCAGTTGCCATACCAGGCAGTGATGCAACCAGTCAGGATGCTCTCGATGGTGCAGCTGTAGAACTTTTTGAGGATTTGAGGACCCATGCCAAATCTTTTCAGTCTCCTGAGGGGGAATAGGCTTTGTCGTGCCCTCTTCACGACTGTCTTGGTGTGTTTGGACCATGATAGTTTGTTGGTGATGTGGACACCAAGGAACTTGAAGCTCTCAACCTGTTCCACAACAGCCCCGTCGATGAGAATGGGGGCGTGCTCAGTCCTCTTTTTTTTTCCTGTAGTCCACAATCATCTCCTTTGTCTTGATCACGTTGAGGGAGAGGTTGTTATCCTGGCACCACACGGCCAGGTCTCTGACCTCCTCCCTATAGGCTGTCTCATCGTTGTCGGTGATCAGGCCTACCACTGTTGTGTCGTCAGCAAACTTAATGATGGTGTTGGAGTCGTGCCTGGCCACGCAGCCATGGGTGAACAGGGAGTACAGGAGGGGACTGAGCACGCACCCCTGAGGGGCCCCTGTGTTGAGGATCAGCATGGCAGATGTGTTGTTACCTTCCCTTACCACCTGGGGGCGGCTCGTCATGAAGTCCAGGATCCAGTTGCAGAGGGAGGTGTTTTGTTCCAGGGTCCTTAGCTTAGTGATGAGCTTTGAGGGTACTATGGTGTTGAACGCTGAACTGTAGTCAATGAATAGCATTCTCATGTAGGTGTTCCTCTTGTCCAGGTGGGAAAGGGCAGTGTGGAGTGCAATAGAGATTGCATCATCTGTGGATCTGTTGGGGTGGTATGCAAATTGGAGTGGGTCTAGGGTTTCTGGGATAATGGTGTTGATGTGAGCCATGACCAGCCTTTCAAAGCACTTCATGGCTGCAGACGTGAGTGCTACAGGTTGGGAGTCATTTAGGCAGGTTACCTTAGTGTTCTTGGGCACAGGGACTATGGTGGTCTTCTTGAAACATGTTGGTATTACAGACTCAGTCAGGGAATGTTGACCTGCTTAAAAGTCTTACTCACATCGGCTACGGAGAGCGTGATCACATAGTCATCCTAAAAAAGCTGATGCTCTCATGCATGGAAGTGATTTAGCTCGTCTGGTAGGTTTGTGTCATTGGCAGCTCGCGGCTGTGCTTCCCTTTTGTAGTCTGTAATAGTTTGCAAGCCCTGCCACATCCGACGAGCGTCGAAGCCGGTGTAGTACGATTCAATCTTAGTCCTGTAATGACTCTTTGCCTGTTTGATGGTTCGTCGGAGGGCATAGCGGGATTTCTTATAAGCGTCTGGGTTAGAGTCCCGCTCCTTGAAGGCAGCAGCTCTACCCTTTAGCTCAGTGCGGATGTTGCCTGTAATCCATGGCTTCTGGTTGGGGTATGTACAGTTGAAGTCGGAAGTTTACATACACTTAGGTTGGAGTCATTAAAACTATTTTTTCAACCACTCCACAAATTTCTTGTTAACAAACTATATTTTTGGCAAGTCGGTTAGGACATCTACTTAGTGCATGACACAAATAATTTTTCCAACAATTGTTTACAGACAGATTATGTCACGATCAGAAACTTCTGATAGGCTAATTGACATAATTTGAGTCAATTGGAGGTCTACCTGTTGATGTATTTCAAGGCCTACCTTCAAACTCAGTGCCTCTTTGCTTGACATCATAGGAAAATCAAAAGAAATCAGCCAAGACCTCAGAAAATAATGTGTAGACCTCCACAAGTCTGGTTCATCCTTGGGAGCAATTTCCAAACGCCTGAAGGTACCACGTTCATCTGTACAAAAAATTGTATGCAAGTATAAACACCATGGGTCCACACAGCTATCATACAGCTCAGGAAGGAGACGCGTTCTGTCTCCTAGAGATGAACGTACTTTGGTGAGAAAAGTCCAAATCAATCCCAGAACAACAGCAAAGGACCTTGTGAAGATGCTGGAGGAAACAGGTACAAAAGTATCTATATCCACAGTAAAAACGAGTCCTATATCGACATAACCTGAAAGGCCGCTCAGCAAGGAAGAAGCAACTGCTCCAAAACCGCCATAAAAAAGCCAGACTATGGTTTGCAACTGCACATGGGGACAAAGATCGTACTTTTTGGAGAATTGTCCTTAGGTCTGATGAAACAAAAATATAACTGTTTGGCCATAATGACCATCGTTATGTTTGGAGGAAAAAGGGGTCCACTTGCAAGCCGAAGAACACCATCCCAACCGTGAAGCATGGGGTGGCAGCATCATGCTGTGGGGGTGCTTTGCTGCAGGAGGGACTGGTGCACTTCACAAAATAGATGGCATCACGAGGAAGGAAAATTATGTGGATATATTGAAGCAACATCTCAAGACATCAGTCAGGAAGTTAAAGCTTGGTTGCAAATGGGTCTTCCAAATGGACAATGACCCCAAGCATACTTCCAAAGTTGTAGCAAAATCGCTTCAGGACAACAAAGTCAAGATTTTGGAGTGGCCATCACAAAGCCCTGACCTCAATCCTATAGAAAATATGTGGGCAGAACTGAAAAAGCGTGTGCGAGCAAGGAGGCCTACAAACTTCACTCTGTTACACCAGCTCTGTCAGCAGGAATGGGCCAAAATTCACCCAAGTTATTGTGGGAAGCTTGTGGAAGGCTACCTGAAACGTTTGACCCAAGTTAAACAATTTAAAGGCAATGCTACCAAATACTAATTGAGTGTATGTAAACTTCTGACCCACTGGGAATGTGATGAAAGAAAGAAAAGCTGAAATAAATCATTCTCTCTACTATTATTGTGACATTTCACATTCTTAAAATAAAGTGGTGATCCTAACTGACCTAACACAGCAAATTTTTACTAGGATTAAATGTGAAAAACTGAGTTTAAATGTATTTGGCTAAGGTGTATGTAAACTTCTGACTTCAACTGTACGTACGGTCACTGTGGGGACGACGTCATCGATGCCCTTATTGATGAAGCCAGTGACTGATGTGGTGTACTCCTCAAAGCCATCGGAAGAATCCCGTAACATATTCCATCTGTGCTAGCAAAACAATCCTGTAGCTTAGCATCTGCGTCATCTGACCACTTCCTTATTAACCGAGTCACTGGTTCTTCCTGCTTTAGTTTTTGCTTATAAGCAGGAATCAGGAGGATAGAGTTATGGTCAGATTTGCCAAAATGGAGGGCGAGGGAGAGCTTTGTACACGTCTCTGTGTGTGGAGTAAAGGTAGTCTGGAGTTTTTTTTCCTCTTGTTGCACATTTAACATGCTGGTAGAAATTAGGTAGAACGGATTTAAGTTTCCCTGCATTAAAGTCCCCGGCCACTAGGAGCGCCGCCTCTGGATGAGTGTTTATCTGTTTGCACTCAATGAGCTGTATAAGGCCATCAGCAAACTTAGTTCCAGCATCGGTTTGTGGTGGTAAATAGACAGCTATGAAAAATATAGAAGAAAACTCTCTTGGTAAATAGTGTGGTCTACAGCTTATCATGAGATACTCTACCTCAGGCGAGCAAAACCATGAGACTTCCTTAGTATTAGATTTTATGCACCAGCTGTTGTTTACAAATATACACAGACCGCCACCCCTTGTCTTACCGGAGTCAGCCGTTATATCCCGCCGATGTAGCGTATATCCCACCAGCTGTATGTTATCCATGTCGTTGTTCAGCCGTAAAACATAAGATATTACAGTTTTTAATGTCCCGTTGGTAGGATATCCTTGATCTTAGGTCGTCCATTTTGTTTTCAAATGATTGTACGTTGGCTAATAGGATTGATGGAAGAGGCAGATTACTCGCTCGCCGTCGGATCCTTACAAGGCACCCCGACCTACGTCCACGATATCTCCATCTCTTTCTCATGGGAATGACTGGGATTCGGGTCTTGTCGGGTGTCTGTAGAATATCCTTCATCGCTGTCCTGATATCTAGAAGCTCTTCTTGGTCATAAGAGACGGTGGCAGAAACATTATGTACAGAATAAATTACAAATAACGTGAAAAAACACACATAATAGCACAATTGGTTAGAGGGCCATAAAACGGCAGCCATCTCCTCCGGCACCATCTAATAGGGTGCCATTTGGGATGCAGCCTACACTCCCTGTGAGACTGCTCTCTGCCACTCCACTGTTCTTCCCTCTGAAGAGGAGGAACATATGAATAAGCATATGGGTGGGTTGCCCCCTCATCCCTAGTCTTTCTTTCTTTCTCTGATTGTGGTTCCCCAGGCACCCATCTGTCTCGCTCTCTTTTGTTTTCTCTCTTGTTCCATTATTTTCCCTCCTGTACTATCTTTCTAGTGTGTTCTCTCTCCTGGCTGATCAGTGCTGCTTCAGCAGGCTGCCTTAGTTTGGCTGCGCTGTCACAGTTCCACAGCCAGAGTCAGGCTAGAGCTGCTGCTGCTGCTGCCGCAGTCCCCCCACAGTCACCGAGCAGAGCAGGGGAGGTCACTACATGCCGCAGTCCCCCCACAGTCACCGAGCAGAGCAGGGGAGGTCACTACATGCCGCAGTCCCCCCACAGTCACCGAGCAGAGCAGGGGAGGTCACTACATGCCGCAGTCCCCCCACAGTCACCGAGCAGAGCAGGGGAGGTCACTACATGCCGCAGTCCCCCCACAGTCACCGAGCAGAGCAGGGGAGGTCACTACATGCCGCAGTCCCCCCACAGTCACCGAGCAGAGCAGGGGAGGTCACTACATGCCGCAGTCCCCCCACAGTCACCGAGCAGAGCAGGGGAGGTCACTACATGATTGGCACCTTAGAATAGATGACTAGTGTAGACTACTGGGTTACAGTTAAGAGGCCAGGGAGGAAGAGGGATGGAAGAGGGGAAAGGATCTTAAAAACAGATGGATAAAGTGTGATTTTTGAAAGCGAAAGATATCTGGAGATTGAGAGTGAGGGAGGAGGGTGAAGAGGTCCTAATTCATTGCTCAATTCCTGTGTGTGTGTTTGCGTCTTCGGCAGACTTGCCTGCAAAGAGCTTTCAGTGTCACTAGTTGTCACTGTTGTACCAGTTCTGTCAAATTCCCTCTCTGGTCACAAAGTCCCTAATGGACTGATCCGTTACGAAACCAAACCTCAATTTCTATTGCACATCTGCATTGTATTAATGGAACTGCCATGTCCTACTGTAGGATACATCTTTATGTTCATTAACTTCACCTGGATTTCACAGCTGTTATTTCTCCATTCATTCTGCATCCCTTCTGCTCTATGCGTTTCTTCCACGCATAATTAAGTTGTGCTCACATGCTCATTGTTTGTTGCGTGTGATCTGATGACAGGTGTCTGACTGAATGTGTGATCTGATGACAGGTGTCTGCCTGTGTGTTTGATCTGATGACAGGTGTCTGCCTGTGTGTTTGATCTGATGACAGGTGTCTGACTGTATGTGTGATCTGATGACAGGTGTCTGACTGTGTGTGTGATCTGATGACAGGTGTCTGACTGTGTGTTTGATCTGATGACAGGTGTCTGACTGTATGTGTGATCTGATGACAGGTGTCTGACTGTGTGTGTGATCTGATGACAGGTGTCTGACTGAATGTGTGATCTGATGACAGGTGTCTGCCTGTGTGTTTGATCTGATGACAGGTGTCTGCCTGTGTGTTTGATCTGATGACAGGTGTCTGCCTGTGTGTTTGATCTGATGACAGGTGTCTGACTGAATGTGTGATCTGATGACAGGTGTCTGCCTGTGTGTTTGATCTGATGACAGGTGTCTGCCTGTGTGTTTGATCTGATGACAGGTGTCTGCCTGTGTGTTTGATCTGATGACAGGTGTCTGACTGTATGTGTGATCTGATGACAGGTGTCTGCCTGTATGTGTGTGCTACTTCCTGTGTGCTCTGCATGTGCTTGTAGTCATGTTTGTAAAGCTCCCTCTTTCTCTTCCTCTTTCTCTCTCCTCTCTCCTCCCTCCCCACTTCAGGTGCTGCAGGGGACCACAATGCAACAGTTACAGCAGGTGCAGGTAGCCCAGTCACAGGGCACACCTATCACGGTAAAAACCCCTCCTCAGCCCCCCCTGTCAACATCTGAATCACCCCTCCCATCCCAGCACCCCTCGGTGTAGGGTGAAGTTACCCCTAGATGCTGATCTTGGATCAGTTTTGCATTTATCCCACTTAATGGTTAAGGTTAAGATTGGGGGAGGGGATGCTGATCCTAGATCTGTACCTAGGGGAAATGTCATCCTGGAGCGCACCCCTCCACATTTAATCAGGAAGGTTAGATCACCCCTGAGGGCCTTCCTACCTCTCCAGTCCTTCTCATCTCCAGGCCTGCAGCTTAGCTTGTGACTCAGCAGCAGCAGTCTCATTAGAGACATTAGTCAGATCAGCTGGCTCATTAGGGACGTTGGCCAGATCAGATCAGCTGGCTCATTAGGGACGTTAGTCAGATCAGATCAGCTGGCTCATTAGGGACTTTGGCCAGATCAGATCAGCTGGCTCATTAGGGACGTTGGCCAGATCAGATCAGCTGGCTCATTAGGGACGTTGGCCAGATCAGATCAGCTGGCTCATTAGGGACGTTGGCCAGATCAGATCAGCTGGCTCATTAGGGACGTTGGCCAGATCAGGTCAGCTGGTTCATTAGGGACGTTGGTCAGATCAGGTCAGCTGGTTCATTAGGGACGTTGGCCAGATCAGGTCAGCTGGTTCATTAGGGACGTTGGCCAGATCAGATCAGCTGGTTCATTAGGGACGTTGGCCAGATCAGATCAGCTGGTTCATTAGGGACATTGGCCAGATCAGATCAGCTGGCTCATTAGGGACGTTGGCCAGATCAGGTCAGCTGGTTCATTTGGGACGTTGGCCAGATCAGGTCAGCTGGTTCATTAGGGACGTTGGTCAGATCAGGTCAGCTGGTTCATTTGGGACGTTGGCCAGATCAGGTCAGCTGGTTCATTAGGGACGTTGGCCAGATCAGGTCAGCTGGTTCATTAGGGACGTTGGTCAGATCAGGTCAGCTGGTTCATTTGGGACGTTGGCCAGATCAGGTCAGCTGGTTCATTTGGGACGTTGGTCAGATCAGGTCAGCTGGTTCATTAGGGACGTTGGCCAGATCAGGTCAGCTGGTTCATTAGGGACGTTGGCCAGATCAGGTCAGCTGGTTCATTAGGGACGTTAGTCAGATTCGATCAGCTAGCTCATTAGGGACGTTGGCCATCAGATCAGCTGGTTCATTAGGGACGTTGATCAGATCAGCTGGTTCATTAGGGACGTTGGCCAGATCAGGTCAGCTGGTTCATTAGGGACGTTGGCCAGATCAGGTCAGCTGGTTCATTAGGGACGTTGGTCAGATCAGGTCAGCTGGTTCATTAGGGACGTTGGCCAGATCAGGTCAGCTGGTTCATTAGGGACGTTGGCCAGATCAGGTCAGCTGGTTCATTAGGGACGTTGGCCAGATCAGGTCAGCTGGTTCATTAGGGACGTTGGCCAGATCAGATCAGCTGGTTCATTAGGGACGTTGGCCAGATCAGGTCAGCTGGTTCATTAGGGACGTTGGCCAGATCAGGTCAGCTGGTTCATTAGGGACGTTGGCCAGATCAGGTCAGCTGGTTCATTAGGGACGTTGGTCAGATCAGGTGGTTCATTAGGGACGTTGGCCAGATCAGGTCAGCTGGTTCATTAGGGACGTTGGCCAGATCAGGTCAGCTGGTTCATTAGGGACGTTGGCCAGATCAGGTCAGCTGGTTCATTAGGGACGTTGGTCAGATCAGGTCAGCTGGTTCATTAGGGACGTTGGCCAGATCAGGTCAGCTGGTTCATTAGGGACGTTGGTCAGATCAGGTGGTTCATTAGGGACGTTGGTCAGATCAGGTCAGGTAAGCCGTTCCTGGAGAGACTGGGTTGCCTGACACTATATCACTTTCACATCATCGTCTCTCCGCTTGCAGGATGAGAGGGTGCTTTAAACCCTGCTGTGTTCTCTCTCTCTCTCGTTCTTGAAGGGGTTTTGGGTTCTCTCTGTGGGACAATCATTACATGTCTCCGTCACCAGACTCTCACCAGTCGTTCAACAATGAACTGTCCCTCTCCCCCTCCCTTCAGGGTGCTCCGATGACCATGCAGGTGGGGGACCAGCAGGTCCAGATAGTACAGGCGTCGTCGCAGGGCCAGACCCAGACGGTACAGTCAGGACAGACCATGCAGGTCATGCAGCAGATAATCACCAACACCGCAGAGATCCAGCAGATACCAGTAAGAAAGGGAGAGAGGGAGGAAACATTATAATTGTAAAGCTCAATTTTCTAATGATATTAATACAAAATGTTCTTCAGTTAGAAATTGGAGATAAATCTCCTTACACTGTAGAGCTGGAGAACCTTATACTTTCCTCCATTTTGACTCTAACTAGCTCAGTGATCATGATAACCTCTGCATTGTGTATCGATGACCTTCCCAGCCTAAAGTGTGTTTGTCTCCCCCGTGTGGTGGCTGTGTGTAGGTGCAGCTGAACACTGGTCAGTTGCAGTACATCCGGCTGGCACAGCCTGTCTCTGGCACACAGGTGGTTCAGGGACAGATCCAGACGCTGGGTAACACTCAGCAGGTACAGGTACTGAACAAGAACCTTTTAGATCTATAGTATTGCATCAGATGTATGTAGACACTTCACCTCTGTAATGTAGTCTCTGGTCTGGTATCACTATTAGTATAAGGTGAATGCACCAATTTGTAAGTCGCTCTGGATAAGAGCGTCTGCTAAATAACGTAAATGTATATAAAATAACATTAATGTTAATGTAGTAACATATGATACGATTATTAATCTTTAAAATGTGTGTTTTCTATATTGTTTCGTAAATCGTTTTCTATATTGTCCATTGCCTTCAGTTGCATTTGACTAGAGGTGTAGGTTTGAATAGTGGCTGTGTGAAGCACTGTGACTGACTCCTCTCTCTCTGGTTTGTTCTCAGATTACACAGACAGAGCAAGGCCAGCAGCAATTCAACCAGTTTACTGACGGACAGGTAAGAGGAACATCTCAGTGACCTCCTGTCGCTCGCTCGCTCGCTCGCTCACATCCTTTTCTCTCTCTCTCTCGCCTAACAGCAGTTGTATCAGATTCAGCAGGTGACGATGCCGGCGGGACAGGACCTGAGCCAGCCCATGTTCATCCAGTCCACCAATCAGACGGCCGATGGACAGGTCACCACACAGGTCAGCGCAGACTGAGGCTCCGGAAACATCCGCCTGACCCCCAGACCACCCAACCATTGACCACACCACCTGCTACCATCCATAAGGACAACACTGGCTCAAACCTCCAAGGGACCTCCTAGGATGCGTCCAAAATGGCACCCTATTCCCTGGTGAAAAGTAGAGCACAATATAGGGTGCCATTTGGGATCTACGCTCATTCAATACACTGGTCTATGACATGATACTTAAAAGGGACTCTCTGACAACATTCAGTACACTGGGTCAGATACCAAAGGGACTGCCCTACAACTCCCTCTCATCCCCATGTCATATCATCTCTCTCTGCCTCTGTTCGTTTCTCCAGGCCTCACTTAGTGCCCATTCATGAGAGCCACACACAGGGTATCCAAACGCTGAATCCTCCAGGTCCCAACTCTCCTCCTTTTTAGTGACCAACTGTTCTTCCTCAGTGTCTGTAAACCCTTTATGTACAAACCTCATCTATATATTCTCTGTCTCTCTGTGAAGTACACCGTATGGGTGGCTTTTGTGTTCTCTATTTTTGTGTCCCAAATGCACCCTATTTCCTATACAATGCACTCCTTTTGACCACAGTCCATAGGGTTTTGGTCAAAAGTAGTGCACTATATAGGGAATAGAGTGCCATTGGGACACATCCTATGGAAGGCTTGGCCCTTGTTTTGTCTACAAGCCAAGAGAACATAAATCATGACCTTTCGATGTAATGTTTTTATGTGTAGACGTTTAAAAGAAAGAAACTATAAAGCCATACTCTTACCTAACCCATTCAATTCACAATAAATCATTGTCAATTGTATGAGACCAGCCATGATAGGTCAATTAAGTTATGTTAGTTTCTCGCAGGTTTTTCACATTGACGAGACATTGCCATCGATGAAAGGGCTTCTAACTGTATGATTGAGTTTGTATTTTGTATGTATGACCTCCATGTGTGTGTGTGTCATTCAATATTGGGCAGTTACTGCAGTATACCTTCCCCATTGCCCAGTGATCCTACTCACCTCTTCAGTTCCCCCTCTTCTCTTCCCTCTTCAGTTCCCCCTCTTCAGTTCCCCCTCTTCTCTTCCCTCTTCAGTTCCCCCTCTTCTCTTCCCTCTTCAGTTCCCCCTCTTCTCTTCCCTCTTCAGTTCCCCCTCTTCTCTTCCCTCTTCAGTTCCCCCTCTTCTCTTCCCTCTTCAGTTCCCCCTCTTCTCTTCCCTCTTCAGTTCCCCCTCTTCTCTTCCCTCTTCAGTTCCCCCTCTTCTCTTCCCTCTTCAGTGCCCCCTCTTCTCTTCCCTCTTCAGTTCCCCCTCTTCTCTTCTCTCTTCAGTGCCCCCTCTATCGCTCCATTCATTTCCACTGATCACTCTTATCATTGTTAGAGCAGGGAGGGGTTAGGCCTTTGTCTCTATGCAGTCTCTCCTTCTGTCTCTCTCTCTCTCTCTCTCTCCTTCTGTCTCTCTCTCTCTCTCTCTCTCCTTCTGTCTCTCTCTCTCTCTGTCTCTGTCTCTCGCTCTGTCTCGGTCTCTGTCTGTCTCTCTCTCTCTCTCTCTCGCTCTGTCTCTCTCGCTCTGTCTCTCTCTCTCTCTGTCTCTCTCTCTCTGTCTCGGTCTCTGTCTGTCTCTTTCTCTCTCTTTCTCACTCTCTTTCTGTCTCTCTTTCTCTCCCTTTACATTTGTCTCTATCCAGAGAGGTTTGTGATTCTCCTGCCCTGCTCTTAGAGGAAGCCTCATGTATAAAAACGACTCCACTGGAGGGAAGGCCCCTTTTTATAAACTCTTTTTTTTTTATACCAGTTGTAACATGTCAAGGTTTATTTATTTCAAATGACCACCCTTCTCCCTCCCCTTTCTTATTTAGTATCATTATTATCATAGTTGTTCTTATTATTGTCGATTTGCATGTAGTTTAAACTGCCAGCATGATATGCAATAGATGGGTACACATTTTATTTTTGTCGTTCTTTTTTGTAAGCAAACTTTGGGTTTGTGATAAAAAAATAAAAATACATGCTATCTTTTTTTTTTGTGTTGAAATGTGTGCATAAAAAAGATTGTAAGAGGTGATAAAAATGTATTACCACAGGCACAGTTCTTTAGCAAAGCAATTTCGCACACTGTATAGCCATTTTGGGTACTTCAGATTAGGTGTCTGTAATTATCTCCGGACTTCTGTGTGGCCTTATCACGTAAAATATATCAAATAATGAAATAAGATCATTTTAAAATAAAAAATTGAATAACAAATCTTTCAAATATTATCCTAGATATAAACCATCAATTTAGAGCAGTGGAGGCTGCTGAGGGGAGGACGACTCATAATAATGGCTAGAATGGAGCGAATGGAATTGCATCAAACACATGGAAACTGTTTGATGTATCTGATACCATTTCACTCATGCCGCTCCAGCCATTACACATTTATTTGACTAAAGTCAATAGTTGTAAGAGTTGCAGAGTTAATTGAAAATGCCATTGTTGATTAGATTATTTTTTCATTCATTAGGGTATTTTCTCCTGAAACATATGGTATATCCACTAGAAACTCATCGGCAATATGGACACCGGTATAAAAAATGAGTACTATATGAATATATATATTTTTATAGTTATTCAAGTATAAATTACTAAAATTGCCATAGATTGCAATAGATTACCTGTTAATTACCAAAATTACAGAAGATTCCGGTAATGTTTGGTGAATTACCAGTAGCTTTGCAACCCTAAATGTATCTAAGAAAGTTAGTACTCTATGGTCACAAGGTGGCGACTGAATCACCTACAGTGGGTATTATAAGTATTCACCCACTTGAATTTCTTCACATTATATTGTTACAAATTAAAATGGATTTGTCATTTTCTGTCAACTATCTACAAAAAATACACTAATGTCAAAGTGAAAGATATATATATATATATATATATATATATGTTTTTCTTTATTAATGAAAAATAAAACACAAATAAATACCTTGATTAGATAACTATTCACCTCAGAGTCAATACATGTTAGAAACACCTTTTGGCAGTGATTACAGCTGTGTCTTCTTGGGTACGTCTCTATTAGTTGCGCATTATTCTTTTTAACATTCTTCAAGCTCTGTTAAGGTGTTGGGGATGATGGCTAGACGACCGTTTTCAAATCTTGCCATAATGTTTCAAGCAGATTTAAGTCAAAATGGTAACTTGGCCACTCACAAACATTCCCTGTCTTCTTAGTTAATAGCTCCAGTGTAGATTTGGCCTTGTGTTGTAGGTTACTGTCCTGCTTAAAGGTGAATTCCTCTCCCAGTGTCTGGTGTAAAGGAGGCTGAATCAGTTTTTCCTCTAGGATTTTGCCTGTGCTTGCTTAGCTCTGTCCCATTTATTTTAACCCTGAAAAACTCCCAAGTCTTTGCCGATGTCAAGCATACCCATACCGTGATGCAGCCACCACCATGCTTGAAAATAAGGAGGCAGTTACTCAGTGTTGTGTTAGATTTGCCCCAAACATAAGGCTTTGCATTTAGGCCAGAAAGTGTATTCCTTTAGCATGTTTTTTTAGTAGTATTACTTTAGTGCCTTGTTGGTCCTCTGTAGCTCAGCTGGTAGAGCACGGCGCTTGTAACGCCAGGGTAGAGGGTTCGATCCCCGGGACCACCCATACACAAAAATGTATGCACGCATGACTGTAAGTCGCTTTGGATAAAAGCGTCTGCTAAATGGCATTATATTATTGCATACAGGATGCATGTTTTGGAATACTTTTATTCTGTATATATTTTTATTCTTCTTTTCACTCATTTAGGTCATTATTGTGGAGTCACTACAGTGTTGTTGATCCATCCTCAGTTTACTCCCATCACAGCCATTGACCTCTGTAGCTGTTTTAAAATCACCAATGGCCTCATGGTAATATCCCTGAGCAGTTTAATTCCTGTCCTGCAGCTCTGTTCAGAAGGATGACTGTGTCTTTGAAGTGTCTGGGTGGTTTAATATTAACTTTACCAATTAACTTGACCATGCTTAAAGACATATTCAGTGTCTGATTTGTTATTGTTACCCATCTACCAATCACTGCCCTTCTTTGTGAGGCTTTCGAAAAGCTCCCTGTTCTTTGTAGTTGAATCTGCTTGAAATGCAATACTTGACTGAGTGATCTTACAGATGTTGTATGTATTGGGGACAGAGTAAGGGTTAGTCATTCAAAAAGCATGTCAACCCCAATTATATCGCATAGAGTCCATGTAAGCTATGTGATTTGTTAAGCCAAATTCTACTCCTGAACAAATTTAGACTTGCCTAAAAAAGGGGGTGAATACTTATGAAACCACTATATTTTAGTTATTTAATTAGCGTTCATTTATATATATATTTTTAAATAGGACCTTTTCACTTTGACATTATGAAGTATTTTGTGTAGATCAATGACAAAAAAAACGAATCTATTTCAATCCCACTTTGTTACGCTACAAAATTTGAAAAAAATCAAGAGGGGTGAATACTTATATCAAAAATGTATAGATTACAACACCTTCATTTATTGCCCCACATGGGTATATAACACATTTACACTGAACAAAAATATAAATGCAACATGCAACAATTTCAAAGATTTTTACTGAGATACAGGAAATCAGTCAATTGAAATAGATAAATTAGGCCCTAATCTATTGTTTTCACATGACTTGGAATACAGATACAGTGGGGAAAAAAAGTATTTAGTCAGCCACCAATTGTGCAAGTTCTCCCACTTAAAAAGATGAGAGAGGCCTGTAATTTTCATCATAGGTACACGTCAACTATGACAGACAAATTGAGGAAAAAAAATCCAGAAAATCACATTGTAGGATTTTTAATGAATTTATTTGCAAATTATGGTGGAAAATAAGTATTTGGTCACCTACAAACAAGCAAGATTTCTGGCTCTCACAGACCTGTAACAACTTCTTTAAGAGGCTCCTCTGTCCTCCACTCGTTACCTGTATTTATGGCACCTGTTTGAACTTGTTATCAGTATAAAAGACACCTGTCCACAACCTCAAACAGTCACACTCCAAACTCCACTATGGCCAAGACCAAAGAGCTGTCAAAGGACACCAGAAACAAAATTGTAGACCTGCACCAGGCTGGGAAGACTGAATCTGCAATAGGTAAGCAGCTTGGTTTGAAGAAATCAACTGTGGGAGCAATTATTAGGAAATGGAAGACATACAAGACCACTGATAATCTCCCTCGATCTGGGGCTCCACGCAAGATCTCACCCCGTGGGGTCAAAAGGATCACA